GCGCGTTGCGCGTTGCGCGTTGCGTGTTGCGTGGTGCGTGGTGCGTGGTGCGTGGTGCGTGGTGCGTGGTGCGTGGTGCGTGGTGCGTGGTGCGTGGGTGGGTGGGTGGGTGGGTGGGTGGGTGGGTGGGTGGGTGGGTGGGTGGGTGGGTGGGTGGGTGGGTGGGTGGGTGGGTGGGTGGGTGGGTGGGTGGGTGGGTGGGTGGGTGGGTGGGTGGGTGGGTGGGTGGGTGGGTGGGTGTGTGTGTGTGTGTTCGTGTGTGTTCGTTTGTGTGTGCGCGTGTGTGTGCGCGTGCGTGTGCGCGTGCGTGTGCGTGTGCGTGTGCGTGTGCGTGTGCGTGTGTGTGCGTGCGTGCGTGCGTGCGTGCGCGCGTGCGTGCGTGCGTGCGTGCGTGCGTGCGTGCGTGCGTGCGTGCGTGGGTGTGTGTGTGTGTGTGGTGTGTCTCTGTGTGTGTGTGTGTGTGTCTGTGTGTGTGTGTCTGTGTGTGTGTGTCTGTGTGTGTGTGCGCGCGCATGCGCATTTGTGCGTGCGCACGCCTGGTGCGCGCATATGTGCGCGCACGCGTGTTCAGATGCGTGGGTGCGTGGTGCAGGGGTGCGTGGGTGCGTGAGTCTGTCCGTGCTTGTGTGGTGTGCACGTGAAGGCACTGGTACTCTTCTTAAATCAAACTTATTCCAGCTGTAGACAACACACATTGCTTGCACAGCGGATCGGCTCATCGGCTACCGTCCGACGCAAAACGCATCAACAACTTCAGACTGATTGAGACAAAGGAGCAGGAAGCCCGACACAACCTATGACCAAAAGGCTCAATATTACAGTATTCTTTGACGCGGACATGTTGGCAGCTGCTCGCGTCCGAAAGGACGGTCAAAGAGAAACCCTGGTGACTGGTCACTCGAGCACAGTGGTCTGCCTCTGCATCCCTCCCAGCCTTTGACATCGGCTTCTCGCTTTCTTTGGACGAAGCCGCGCATCTTATCTCCTGCGCGCGTCTCCGGCCTCCCTGCCCCACATGTGAAGCTCCCAGTGATCGGCATAGCCCTTGTGGGATAAGCATGCAAGTCCGAAAGATTCGACTGGAGATGATGTTGAACCTTACTGGAACACATACTGCAGTACTGCACCTGGACCCTGATACGGAGCCAATTACTGCCAAGTGCTGCTCTGCACACTCAGAGCCAGCCGAGACAAGCTCGCTTCCTGCTTCACCGGCATGATAGCTTATCACGAGCAATCAACAATCCAAGCCCTCGTCCTCCTCTGTCACAGCCATGTCCCACTAAGATTTCGCGTTGCTGGTGTCTCTTCGTGGTGAGTTTGAACCAAGATATCTTGGTGCAAGAATCAGCACCAGCTGCGACTTCAGCACGGTGGGGTGAAGGGTGAGGTGCCTTTTTCGGAGCCAGCTCTGACACTTGCACATGTTGATTCTGCTGGAGGGCTCTCAGCCAAAACCTTGCGCTGCCCGCGCGCAAATTGCTCAGAAATGACTCCCAAATCAGCACGCTCCGGCGGCCGGTTGAACTTGCCAGTGAGCGCGTGCGTCCCCTTTTTTGCCTCGCGCGTCAGTAGGGCAGCCTCAGCATGAGAACTCTAGGGACTTCTCAGCAGCGGCTCTTGCGCAAAGAATAAGGCTCGGGCGCCACCAGCCTCTGCAGATATCGCTCAAACTCAGGGCGCATGACCTTGGACAAGTCAAAAGTGAAGCGCGAATCTGGGGTGAAGCTGCCGTCTATGGAGGTGCCAGACGCGTGCAACTCTGAGGCTTGCACAGCGCAAGACTTTCCTTTCCCAGATCTTTGCCGCGAAAGGACCTCAGAGCCGCTCACTGGCTGAGTACCGCATCCTTAGGGGGTGGAGTGCGGAGTCAAACTCTGTGGGTCTTGGTGTTGCGATGCGGTAAACCCCGTACAGGCCCGGCCGGAAAAAGCTTGGCCCGGAGCAAAACCGGCCACCCAAAATATGGCTCAACGCCTTTTCGTTGAAAAACCCTCAAAATGCTTGTCCGATCCAGTCGCAAGCTTCCCCGCGCAAACATTTCGAAGCAGATTTGTTTGGACCGGGCGCTCCCGAAGCACACGAAGCTCCTCACCCCGGTGCAACGGACTCAGGCCCCAGGCCTTCCAAAGGCTTCGACCATCCTAGCACGGATCATGGGTTCTGCTTGTGACCGATATTGGACCCTTCGGACAAAGGGTAAAGGGTCCAAATTCATGTCCACCAATTGTGAAGTGGTTCCCTAATCTTATGATGATTCATTGTGCCATAGGCAGATGAATGTCAAGAATGTTGTGTGTGTGTGTGTGGGTGTGCGTGTGTGCGTGTGTGCGTATATGTGTGTGTGGTTGCTTGTGCTGGTGTGTATTTGTGAGTTTGTGTGTGTGTGTTTTGTGTGTTTCTGTTGTGTTGTGTTGTGTTGTGTTGTGTTGCGTTCCGTTGCGGTGTGTTGTGTTGTGTGTGTGTGTACTTGTTTGTGTTTGTGTGTTACCATGTAAGTTGTAAATCCATGACCGTTTATACCATTGATTATGATTAAAGCGCCAATTTGAAGGGAGTTGAACATTAAAGTTATTAAAGTTATTATTAAATATAGTATGTGTTCGGTTGAGAAGAGTTTTAGCACGTGTTCTCAGATGTCCAAATAAGCAACGGCTTTTGCAATTATTTCAAGCCATTGATTATAAGAAGGTAAAATACCATCTCCAGAAAATAAATCTCCCACAACTTTAATATTGCATCATTGAATAATGTTTCTGTAGATAACTGTTGAAAATTCCGAAGTTGATGAATAAAATATCTTGAAGTGTGTTTGTGTGTTTGTGCGTTTGTGTGTTTGTGTTTGTGTGTGTGTGTGTTTTGTGTGTTGGTGTGTGCTTCTGTTGTGTTGTGTTGTGTTGTGTTGCGTTCCGTTGCGGTGTGTTGTGTTGTGTGTGTGTGTACTTGTTTGTGTTTGTGTGTTACCATGTAAGTTGTAAATCCATGACCGTTTATACCATTGATTATGATTAAAGCGCCAATTTGAAGGGAGTTGAACATTAAAGTTATTAAAGTTATTATTAAATATAATATTATGTGTTCGGTTGAGAAGAGTTTTAGCACGTGTTCTCAGATGTCCAAATGAGCAACGGCTTTTGCAATTATTTCAAGCCATTGATTATAAGAAGGTAAAGTACCATCTGCGGAAAATAAATCTCCCACAACTTGAATATTGCAACGTTGAATAATAGTTTCCGTAGATAACTGTTGAAAATTCCGAAGTTGGTGAATAAAATGTCTTGAGGTGTGTTTGAGTGTTTGTGTGTTTGTGTGCTTGTGTGTTTGTGTGTTTGTGTGTTTGTGTGTTTGTGTGTTTGTGTGTTTGTGTGTGTGTGTTTGTGTGTGTCTTTGGGTGTTTGTGTCTTTGTGTGTTTGTGTTGTGCGTTCGTGTCTTTGCGTGTTCGTGTCTTTGTGTGTTTGTGTGTGTTTGTGTGTTTGTGTGTTTGCGTGTTTGTGTGTGTGTCTTTGTGTGTTTGCGTCTTTGTGTGTTTGTGTTGTGCGTTCGTGTCTTTGTGTGTTCGTATCTTTGTGTGGTTGTGTGCTTGTGTGTTTATGTTTTTGTGAGTTTTAGTGTCTGTTATCCTTCAAGGGCACAATGCGCATCGTTGCAGCCAATGCGATCCATCCGACTCTCAAAAGGTTACGTTGAGACGGCACCTAGCTTGGGCCAAGAAGGAGAACCTCTTTGCAGCAGCAGCGTTCTGGGAAGTGTGCTCTTTTAGTGATTGCCCAAACACATAAAGCTCTGGGCGCTTGCATACGGAAAATCTGCTTAAGGGGTGTCAACACTGCTTCTTAAACTTGCTGGTGCTCAGTAGGGAATGTTGAAATGACCCCGCAATTCCCCTTAACGGAAACCACCAGCAGGATGGTTTATAGCCGGACCATTCCATTTCTCAGGGCTGCAGCTCTCTTCAAGAACTCTGGCCGTCCTGGAGGGTCTCTGCCAAGGGCTTGGCTCGAAGCTTCGGAAAGGCCTTGCCCAGCAGGGGGGCTTTGCCCAGCGCCGCCTGGGGCGAACCCAGGGCGGCACTTTGGGAGTGAACAGACTTCAAAGTGAACAGAGGACTTCGCAAACCACTTTCTGCCCGGTCATTTTCTGAGAAAAAAACAAAACTGGAACTGGCAAGCCGGGTCATTTTCTGAGAAAAAAAACAAAACTGGAACTGGCAAGCCAGGTCATTCTCTGAGAAAAAAAGAAAAAGAAGAAAAGAAACTGGAACTGGCAAAAACAAAACTGGAACTGGCAAGCCAGGTCATTCTCTGAGAAAAAAAGAAAAAGAAGAAAAGAAACTGGAACTGGCAAAAACAAAACTGGAACTGGCAAGCCAGGTCATTCTCTGAGAAAAAAAGAAAAAGAAGAAAAGAAACTGGAACTGGCAAGCAGGGTCATTTTCTGAGAAAAAAACAAAACTGGAACTGGCAAGCAGGGTCATTTTCTTATCTAAACAAAAAAAATACAGCTGAAAGACGTCCTCTGACCTCCACCTCCCCTCCCTTTCGATACACCTTTCCCGCCTGGCACCGCCGGGCGCGCGAGGGCCAGCCGCAGCGGTGCAGCTCCGCCGCCAGGGAGCCGAAGAGGCTGAGCCTGGCGGGGGGTCCAAGGGGGGGTCCGATGGAATTAGTTGGGGAGGAGGGGAAAAATACATAAAACGGCACTTCAAAGAATAAAACCAAAAAATCAAACAGCATACAACAAAATCAGCAAAATTCACAGAAAACAAGATAAGAACCACCAAGCAACTCAAAAACCAGAACAGCCCCCAACAAAATATTTAATCAAAGCATAAAACATTAAATAATTCAAACAAGCATACCAACAAAACAGCAAAAATAAAAACCATCAAAGAACACAAACTCAAAAACACACATCAACAAAAACATAGCAACATACCAACAAAAAATATCAGAAGAGTATCAAACAAAATAAAATACAAACAGCCAAAGCACGAAAAAAACAAAAGAGCATACCAAGTTCAAACAACGCACTTTGAAAGAGTCAAGCAAATTAGGAAAAATAAAATATTTCAATCTTTACAAACCATAAGTACAGTATAATTATAACATATAAGATTTTACATGTTATTATTATAGTATGATTATAATTTCAGTACAGGATAATAATTTAATTGACAAATCTTACTTCTTTCATACATCATTTTAAAAATAATATTAATATCTCTCAATGTATTTTGAATATTAAACTTTTTACTTTCAATAAATAATTTGATATTTTCTTTAACATCTTCTCCTTTCTCTTGACTATAGCCCAACATCCATAATATATCATAAATCATTTCATATTTTTTCTTACTGATTTTAAGAAACTGTTTAACATAATCATAAGGTGGTATTTTATTTACAGTTAGAAATATTAAAATCTCATCTTCTACATTTCTATTATGTCTTCCTTTTATTCTCAACAAACATTTGATTAAAAATTGATTATCTCTCCATTCCTGACAATTTTCACATTCGTCTTTTTCATCCATTGAATAATTAATAATATTATTCACTGTTTCATTAGGTAAATTCAATTTATACAATTCCATATTTTCTTTTTTGAAGTGACAACAATCATAGCATTTTTTAGTGATATAATTATTGATTTTATCACCGTTCATTTTCCTCTTATTATATTAAGACACTATTTCTTTAAGTCGTTTTTAAGGTATTAATAAAAATTAAGAAACAAACCATAAGTTTAGTATAATTATAACATATAAGATTTTACAATGTTAATTTATATTATAACAACATAATATACATACACCGTATTATTATTATTTTTTGTCCAAATTCAATCAAAATTAGGGATTGCAACCTAATATTAGGGGGATTGCTAATTGCCACCTATCATTAGGGGGCTTGCCACCTAATATTAGGGGGATTGCTAATTACCACCTATCATTAGGGGGCTTGCCACCTATCATTAGGGGGCTTGCCACCTATCATTAGGGGGCTTGCCACCTATTATTAGGGGTTTTCTTTTGAACCCAGCAAGGTATCAGCACAGAATGCGACCGGCAACACTGCCTGTCCCGCTAAACATCTCTAATAAGTTCATTATTAAAGATATTTAGATAATATTATCTATGAATAAAAATCCCTGTTTCCTCGTTAAAAACTAAACTATGTTTAGTTTTCAATGAGTAAATACAACTTTATGAATAAAGTTGCGTTTCCTCATCATAGTCAATTTGATAAAATGTCATAGTTGAAGCCTTCGGTTCT